TATTACGTGCACGTGGCTTTCCGTTAAACGTGCAGTTATAACGCATATAACGCGTGAAAAACCCTGCCTAGAGCCCGGTATAGCAGTGGGGAGCCTGAAACCCTGGAGCAAAGAGAAATGGAAACCCTCAACCCCTGGCCTCCCCCTAAGGGTCAAAGTACCTAAATAGGAACTACATTAAGGCGACTGCATGTTATATGAGTAAACCCTAAACCCTAAACCCTAAACCCTAAACCCTAAAACCCTAAACCCTAAACCCTAAAGTACGTGGACCCTTAGGGTACCTTACAAGCCCAACTACTTCTCACCATCCCTATGAGCGGAGGCTCGCGACTTCAGGGCTCTAGGCGTTGATAGATCTTGGGGTTGTTCGTTCAAGGGCTCCTTTAACGGTGTTCCTTTTAAAGGGCCCTTACATGGGTTCCCTTTAAAGGCTCCTTTAACGGTGTTCCTTTTAAGGGCCCTGTCCTTACATGGGTTCCCTTTAAAGGCTCCTTTAACGGTGTTCCTTTTAAGGGTCCTGTCCTTACATGGGTCCCCTTGAAGGGCTCCTTTAACGGGCCTCCCCTAAAGCAAACCCCCAAACCCCAGAACCCTCGAGATCTTCCCCCCGCAAAAGTGCCAAGCCCAAATCCGAAGCACTGAACCCACAAGCCGAAACATACGATGGTAGATTTTGGTATAGTATAGGATGTTATAGTATACTTATAGTCTTAGCATGTCATAGTATATGATAGTACATTTACAGTAAACTGATAGTATCTTAATCGTATATTCTGGTATAACATTGCAGACCCTGGCGTAGAATGACCTTTGGTGTTGTAGAGCAGCCGGAAGTTCTCCTTGGTCTTCTCGATCTGAACCTCTGCGAGGGGCTTAGAACCCTAAACTCTCAACCCTAAACCCTAAACACAGAACCCCGAGCCCTAAACCCTAAACACTAAACCCTAAACACTAAACACTAAACCCTATAAACCCTAAACACTAAACCCTAAACCCAGGGTTCAGGATTTGCAGGCCTTGGGTGTTAAAATAACAAACCGTAGATCCTGATCCCTAAACCTTGATCCCTAAAGGTTTAGGGTTTAGGGGTTTATAGGGTTTATAGGGCTTATGGGGCTTATAGGGTTTTTAGGGTTTTAGGGCTTATAGGGCTTATAGGGTTTATAGGGTTTATAGAGTTTAGGGGTTTAGGGTTTAGGGGTTAAAATTTAGGGGTTTAGGGGTTTAGGGTTTACCCATAGGCCAAAAGTTCCTTTTTGTGGCTTATGTTTAGGATCCTATTAGGTAATCCCAACAAGGAACTGCTACGGGGCCTATGGGCAGTGTTTTGTGAGGCACGACTCAGACCTCAACCCGAAGCCTTTGCGGGGCTCCGACTGCTCATGCTTGAACGCCAAAAGCGGGGTCTTGCTACGAGTACTTTGTGCCCTTCTGAATCCCTGGAGGACTTACCAGGGCGGAGTTTCTTCGGGGTTTGATAACGATGACCCAGGCCCACAAGCAGACCGGGGCCACAGCCACGTCCATAAAGCCAGCCTGAGCTACGCAGGGTGTGGAAGCAGGGTGTAGGATTTAGGACCTGCAGGTTGTCTGGTTAGGCATAGCCCTAAACCCTAAACTCCTGGGTCTTATAGGGTTTTATAGCACTGGTGTAGGGTAGACCTTCCGAGACCTCAGGAGTTTAAGAAGTTCTGAAGGATATCTACGTACGTACTTAGTGAGGCCCCTACATGCTCTGAGCTGCTCCTTTTGATAACCAAAAGAATTAAAGAAAGCCTCCCTCAACCCTAAGCCCCCAAACCCAACCATAAACCCTAAGCCCAAAATACCGTAAACCCTAAACGCTAAACCCT